AAACCGCAAAGGACTTATCCAAAAGCAGTCACTGCAGAGTCGGTAACGACTGAGTGCAGATTAAAAAAAAAAATTATCAAATTGCTTTTTGTTTGGGAGGATCCAGATACATTGATAGTTTTTGGAAATATTGTCAGTTTTGCCCTAGATGTAATCAATTAGAAAGGAGGGAGGATGCTAATGTACTTGTGTCTGTCTTATGGGAGTCAAAGAACATTTGGTGAGTGAATCTAGGAACAGAATACTGGAGAAGATGGTCTTTGGCCTGATTCAGCACAGTTCATATATATTCAAGGTTGCTGTTTTCTTACTTACATAATTTATAAAGAAACAATATACTGGGTCTGTTTATTTCTTGTATGTAATTGCAATGTTTTGACATCATCAATGATCACTGGCTTTTTTCAGTATTGTTCAGTACTGAAGCCTATAATGTACTAGAACAGAAAATAAACAGTTCCCAATTTTTAAAATAACTATTAGCCTGAAAAAAGAGCAGTTTTTTTTCCTGTAAAATATTGATGAGACATGGTTAATGCTAAACATTTAATTTCTTTTTTCTTCTAGAATAATGCTATCAAAGTTAAAAACAAAAACCGAAAAAAGACAAAAGAATCCAAGGTATATAGTTTTAAAATGTATCAACAATATTGAATCTAGGAAATCACTGTTTACTTTCCTTTCTTTAATTTTCTCTCTGTTCACTGGTTGGAGACCATTTTTGTATGTTTTGTTTTGTGTTGTGTTTCAAAAATAATGTATCTTTATTTCCATTCTTCCAACATTTTATAGCTTCGATCATATGAGCAAACTCAGTTTCTGGGCTATTTAGGGTTTTGATAAAAAGAAGAAATCCAGCTAATTAAAAACTCACTATTAATGTATTTATTTTAAAAATATGTGTAACAGAATAATAGTTTCAGAGAGAAAAATAATACTTTGACTCTAGATACTACCAAAATGTTGGCAGAAGATATCATCTTAAAGGGGCATTCTTATCTGGTGAGAAAGTAGCTTTGGATTTAAATATTTTTATATTCTAATTGAAATGGAACTTAATGTGTTCCATTTAAGTTAATGGAACTTAAGTGTTAACTTAAGTGTTAAATTAAGTCCACTGTTAAGTTAGTGAGACTTATAAAAGTGCACAAAAGTATCTATCAACAAAAAAATTAGTCTCAGAAGGGTAATCATGTTAATTCCTTGAAACAAAAGCCTTGAATTAATGTTACATTGATGTATTAGGTTATATAATTTTACAGTCTACTTCATAGGACACCAAAGCTTAAATCATAATTCATTTGATAAACAGTTATTATTATTATTGTTTCAAATTTGTATAGCTGCCCATCTCACAAGAAGTAACTCTGGGTGGCATACAACAATAAAATAAAAACAACAATTAAAATACAATCATTATAAAAATTGTTGTTGTTTAGTCGTTAAGTCGTGTCCGACTCTTCGTGACCCCATGAACCA